GGAAAGAGAGGGTACCTGCAAAAGGCACTTCAATGCTTAAGTTAGTCCTCGGTCTCAGAGATATCACTGCTAATCAAACTGGTAATTATGAAAACGTACCTCTCTTTGTCACTGGTCATACTTATTTATACTAACCTTGATGGGCCAGGCCCATATGCAGGCCCATAAGAGGGTCCATTAATGATACAAGAAGTCTTCGATGTGATCGCGAGGAGTTATAGATTCTTCTAAGGTGTTTTCCCTAATATTCATATCATTATCTGGTATACATTCTCCCAGGGTTTCAAGGCTTTTTGATAAATATTAAAAAATGGAGAAATCCTAAAAAGAAATGTTTGCGGATCTTTTCTGCTGCTTTCTCTGATATTGCCGTTTTTCAATTAATGTGGGACTGCTGCTTTCAATCAAACTTGGCCGAGGACTACCATATTTATGTATATAAAACTTTGAATTTCAAAACCTTTTCACTAAGGAATCTTTTATATGTGAGATTTCTCGCTTTTAAACATTTGGCCGAGGACTATAAAAATCTTTGGTTTTCAAAACTTTTTTCACCAAGGAATATACTTGGCCGAGGAATCTTGTACAGCTTTATGCTTCAATTGTTTGACCAAGGGCTAATATATATATAACCTTGGCTTTCAAAAGTTTTTTCACTGCCGTTCCCAAACTGAAGGGCTACCACCTGTGAACACAAAAAAGACAGATACACGTGCATAGAAACACATGCAATATACAGCACACAATGTCTCCATGGCAAACAAAGGCACACAGCACAGAGTACAAACATGGAGCACACAGAAATGAGCACGTAGAGCACACAAACATAGGCACACGCAGAGGGACATAAACTAAGTTGTTGATATAAGAAAAAGTAGGACTTTTTATTCCTTTTAACTGCTTTGACTGAGGGGTTTTTCAAGGTCTTGAGTTATTTTTCACGCTCGACCAAGTGTGTCCTCGGTCGAGGTCTTGAGTTATTTTTCACACTCGACCGAGTGTGTCCTCGGATGAGGTCTTGAGTTGTTTTTCACGCTCGACCGAGTGTGTCCTCGGCCAAGGTCTTGATTCATTTTTCACGCTCGACCGAGTGTGTCCTCGGTCGAGGTCTTGAGTTGTTTTTCACACTTGACCGAGTGTGCCCTCGGCCGAGGTCTTGAGTTGTTTTCGCGCTCGATCGAGTGTGTCCTCGGCGGAGGTCTTGAGTTACTTTTTCACGCTCGACCGAGTGTGTCCTCAGCCAAGGTCTTCAGTTACTTTTTCACGCTCGACCAAGTGTGTCCTCGGTCGAGGTCTTGAGTTATTTTTCACACTCGACCGAGTGTGTCCTCGGCCGAGGTCTTGAGTTGTTTTTCACGCTCGACCGAGTGTGTCCTCGGCCAAGGTCTTGATTCATTTTTCACGCTCGACCGAGTGTGTCCTCGGTCGAGGTCTTGAGTTGTTTTTCACACTTGACCGAGTGTGCCCTCGGCCGAGGTCTTGAGTTGTTTTCGCGCTCGATCGAGTGTGTCCTCGGCGGAGGTCTTGAGTTACTTTTTCACGCTCGACCGAGTGTGTCCTCAGCCAAGGTCTTCAGTTACTTTTTCACGCTCGACCAAGTGTGTCCTCGGTCGAGGTCTTGAGTTATTTTTCACACTCGACCGAGTGTGTCCTCGG